CACCAACCAATCATGGAACTCTCCCCAGCCCACGGGGTAGGTTTGAACCACAGCAGTGGTGTGAGAGCAAGGCTTGTATCAGCCCCTCATCGCGATGATGCAGGGTGATCAGGCATTGCCGACGGGGGAAACCGGCGATGCTAGTGCCGAGCATCTTTGGCCAGTCACTTGCACCTCCTCCTCCCCCCCTCCCACCCCACATTAGCGGTGTTCTTCTCTCAAATTCTTTTTCGCCTTCAATACCTTCCATGTTCCCTATTCTACCCATCTTCTCCAACGTTGATTTTTTGCTTGGAATAGCCATATGATCTTATGATCCGATTTCCTGTCAGTTTCTTAGTCACAGTGTTTGTGGGATGTTGGGGCTGCCTGTTCCTGCGTTGTGACGGCCTGGTGTGTGGACAGGAGGAGTGCTCTTCAAGGCCTATGTCGTTGGGGAAACGGTGACTGTTGTGCGAAGACTATCATTACCTGATGTGAGGGAAGGGGAACCAGTGGGAAATGGGGTGCAGGCATTTGATCGCGTCTCTAGTGCAGCTTCAGCTGCGTCTGCGGAGTCTGTGGAGTTCGGCGAAGCAAGTGGATCAGCAGGTAGGATTCTGAAGGGGCGTAATGAATAACTTGACCAATTGCTCATTATGAGTGCAGCTCACTATCTGTTGAAATGGGGGGTGGTGGATGCAATTGATTTGAATCATGTTTTTAAACCACCCGTCAGCTGTCGGCCTAGCCATACTGCCACGGTTGCAAGAGGGGGTGGGGGTGGGGGTTGGGGGGGGGCACATTTTCGGTCTGCCAGTGCACCTGCAACCGGTTCCCTTGTAATATTGGTCTGGAAAAGCTTGCCCAAAATAAGTGAAAAAAGGTACTAGTGTGAGTATGCCCTGAGGGAGTCCGAGTTTGAACCCCATAGCTTATTTATTCGGCACATTTTCGTGTGAGAAGGGTGTTGTGGCCAGCCCCTTGGTAACTGTGGTTCTCAATTGTGTTTTGTGATGCTTCTGTCATCTCTTGATTGCGTTTGCCTCAGTCTGTTCCAGAGTTTAGCCACGGGACCACCACATGATTTGATCTTGTCCTTTGCTTCTATTGCCAAGGTAAATGGACTGACAGATTTGTAGTGAAGTGGTAGTTGTATGCTTATCAAGTTGAAGTTAATACAGTCTAGTCCCACTGCCTCAGGAATATGCATCCGGGAGTCCATCAGTGAATGTATCCATGTGTGTGTGTGCAGTTGTGAACCCAAGTGCTTTGGGAAGAGCTCACAGTGTCTTTCTGTTAGGGGCTTCTCTCTCTCTCTCTCTCTCTCTCTCTCTCTCTCTCTCTCTCTCTCTCTCT